CTTTCTTTCTTTCTTTCTTTTTTTTTTTGAGACAGAGTCTCAAGCTATTGCCCTGGGTAGAGTGCTGTGGTGTCATAGCTCACAGCATTCTCCAACTCTTGGGCTCAAGCCATCCTCTTGCCTCAGTTCTTCTATTTTTAGTAGAGATGGGGTCTAGCTTTTGCTTAGGCTGGTCTCGAACTTGTGACCTCAAGCTATCCACCCGCCTTGGCCTCCCAGAGTGCTCAGATCTGCTGCTTTGTTGTCACTCACCCTTCTTTACCCTTCTAATATGACCCGTGGTTCCATTTTTCTTCCTTGTAACTTTCAGTCTTTCCCAAGTGCATCTTTCGCTTATCCCCTTTCCTGTTTGTCGTCGGAACTGTCTCGTACAGACTCCCACGTGAGAATAATGGATGTGGGTGGATTTATTTTATTTTGGGAAATTCTATAAGGATGCAAATGTTTTATCAAATCTCTACACTAATGATCTCTACCTTTGTGATAAGAACTAAGTGAGCTTTCACAGCATCTGTTTGGCTTCTTTCTGAATATATGTACCTTTCCCCACTCCTTGTGTGTTTATAGAAATAGAGTCGAGGTCAAAAGCTGGAAAGTCATTAGCAGAAAAGTTGCCAGAAGGAGGAAAAGTTACTAGAAGAGAAACTCTTCGCCTGAGGTCAAAAGGACCTGCAAACGTAGAAGAAATGGTATGTTACGTTCATTTACTTCCTATTTTGCTTGGAAATGTTTAGATATTCTTGTTTACTAGAGGTGGAAATGAAGGTAAAATCACAAAGTTAAATAAAATGCCATTCATTGTAATGAAAGCATGGACTTGTAGTTCATTGTTTATCTAAACCATGTGGAAATTACTGAAAGTGTTTAAGGTGTTGGTCATTCTGAGGACTTCAGCTTTTATTCTGAAGACCAATATGATCTGACCCCTCATTTCTTCTCTGGTCTCACTTCCCAGCCCTCTGGCCTGTCTTCCCCTGCTCTGGTCTCCTCACTGTCCCCAGCTGCTGCAGTCATATCCCCATCCAGGGGCTCTGCCCTGCGGTCTTCTCAGCCTGAGTGCTTCCCCCACTCGTCTGTGTGGGCTGCTCCCGCACCTTTGTCAGGTCTCTGCCCACATGTCACCTGCCTCCCAGGCCTTTTCTGAGTGTCCTGTGTGAGCAGTGATTTCTCTGTCCCTCCCACTGCCTGCTCTCCTGGGCCCTTTGTTTTCTTCAAAGGACCACAGGACTCTGAGATCCTTATTGGTTTAGCTTTGCCTCTGTCTCCTGCCCCTTTGCTCACTGCTGTATCCCCAGCCCCTACAGTAGGACCTGATATGTTAAAGGAACTCAGATCTTTGCTGAATTAATCAGTGGACAAAAGATTCACTTTAGTCTGAGAAAAGCAAAGGTTTGCAGATGGACTGACTGTTGTTTTTTTTTTTTTTTTGAGATAGAGTCTCTGTCATTCTGGCAGCTATCTGAGCACTGAAATACTGGTGGCCATTTGTGTGTGAGGACACTGACACTCATGGCAGCACTTACAGTATGGCTGGACAGATACAGAGGTTAATACCTACGTTCCTTCACAGCCTGCTGCTCTGCATGGACAGTTCAAAATAACCGTAATGAAGGCCAGAGCAGTCTGTTGCCTCCAATATTGTTTTTAAGGCTGGATTCGTATAAATAAAAATGTGACAAAGCTGTACTAATATCCTCAAGGAAATATATATTATTTGCTATACAATGCTTGATTTTAATAAATTTTGAGACTACAAAGCAACATACATTTATAACAGTATTAATAGTAATGTGAAATTCTTATCAAATTAATCATAAATTCCACATTTTGAATAGTTGAATGTTTAACATCTTTGGGCAATTCCTTTTTAGCTACGAAGTCATATAAAACCAAGTTTTGAAATAATCTGAACTCAGAACCAGAATTCACCAAATACCAAACCAAAATTTTAAAGAATAGTAAAACTTAGGCAATCATGTTTTTGACTGAAACTTTCAGTAATAGTTTTAGGAAGAACAAACATGTTTTGCTGCCACTGGCCATGTGCAGTGGCTCATGCCTGTAATCCTAGCAGGGAGGCTGAGGCAGGTGGATTGCTGAGCTCAGGAGCTTGAGACCAGCCTGAGCAAGAGTGAGACTCTGGCTCTACTAAAAATAGAAAAATTAGCTGGGTGTGGTGATGTAGGCATGTAGTCCCAGCTATTGGACAGGCTGAGGCAAGAGGATTGCTTTAGCCCAGGAGTTTGAGGTTGCTAGGTTGCTGTGAGCTGTGAAGCCACAGCACTCTAGTCTGGGCAACAGAGTGAGACTCTGTCTCAAAAATAATTTTTTTTTGTGCCACTAATACATAACACAAAAAGTATTTTAAAAATATTATTTCAGGCTGGGTATGGTAGCTCACACCTGTAAACTCAGCACTTTAAGAGGCTGAGGTGGAGAGTTTCTAAAGGATGGGAATTTGAGACTAGTTTGGGGCAACATAGTGTGACCCCGGTATCTTTTTTTTTTTGAGACTGAGTCTCAAGCTGTTGCCCTGGGTAGAGTGCTGTGGTGTCATAGCTCACAGTAGCCTTCAACTCTTGGTTCAAGAGATCCTTTTGCCTCAGTTTTTCTATTTTTAGTAGATACAGGGTCTCACTTTAGCTCAGGCTGGTCTTGATCTCGTGAGCTCCAGCAATCCACCCACCTCCCAGAGTGCTCCCTGGTGTGAGCCCCCATGCCTGGCTCTGTGACTCCTGTCTCTAACAAAAAACAAATTATTTCAGGGGTGGCGCTTATGGCTCAAAGGAGTAGAGTGCCGGCCCCATATACTGGAGGTGGCAGGTTCAAACCTGGCACTGGCCAAAAACTGCAAAAACAAGAAAAAAAACTATTTCATCCTCCTAAAATTTCCTATTTAAGTTTTCTTTTTTAAAAAAATAATGTATACAGTATATCAATATGGTGATACATGTGTATAATTTATAAACAAGATAATACAATTTACTAAAACAAAGAATTAGGATTATGTTCTAAAATGTTTAAATATTAGGGGAAGCCATCCAGAGTTTGGACATACTGGGCTGCACAGTAAAGACCACAATCCTCTCCACGGCACAAGGGGACTCTTCAGATCCAGTCACATTTGTCACTGTGTCCTCCAGCCCCCTGGCACTTCTCGCAGTCCCTCTGACATGTGTCCCCTTCTCTCAGACTCTGGGACCTCACATAGACTTTGCCTCCCTATTGCCTCCTACTGAAGTGCCCTCTCCAGCTTAGCTCCTGTTCATCTTTGAAAACCCAGTTGCTAAGTCCCCTTCTCTCTGAAATCTTCCTGACAACTAGAGATATGAACTTGCTTCCTGCCTGTGATGCTTCTGTACCTTTTATGTCCTTTCACAATTGCTACACGATTATTTATTTTCATATCTGTCTTCACTTCTAGATTATTGGCTACTTGAGGACCGTGTTCCTGGCTTTTCTGTTTGAATCCATAGCACTTAACGCTAATACTAAATATAAGTACTTACTGTATTGATTTGTATTTGTATTGATTACAGAGCATGTTCTAGAAGCTCTATTTCCACTAAAATTAGGTGAAGGACACAGCTGAGCTGAACTCGCTGCCCATCAGGCTTCCCCCTCTGAATGCCCCAACAATCAAGAGATGTCAATATAAAAACATAATGTGCTGTTTCTCTCTTTTTTGATAAAGCCTTCTGGAGCCAAAGCAAAGGCAATTGAAAAGATCGATGACGTTCTTGAATCGTACATGGGAATTCGAGATGCTGACTTAGGTAAGATTATACTATTTTGAAAAGTCTTACATCTCTTACTTTGATGGAATTTAGTGATTACTTATGACTTGTTTGCACTTATAAGCAATTCTATGCTTTTCAAGATAAAAAGTATTTGTGGTGTGATGAAAAGAATAATGAATGTGAAGATGATGAAGAATAAAAGAGACCCGGCCCTTATCAGTCACTAGGGATGAGGTCTTAGCTCCAAGTCAACTGTAACAAATTTTGGTTGGTTCTGAGTCTATGAATTATGAATAATAATATCTCTTTCAGTCTTGCTTCATGGATTTAAAAATAGATATATGAAAAGAATTTTATAAGTGACACATCTGGAAAGGATTATTATTATTTGATGTATCTAATTTGTACTTATTAAATTATGTTATGAAATTAAAACTGTGTACCATTTAACAGGGCTGCTGAAACCTTATCAAATAATGAATCAGAAATATGAAGAAAAAGGACACACTGGGCATATGACGGATGAACAAGTGAATTTCTGTGTATTATGTCATCATTAGGATGCCAGGGTCATGGTTCATCTGTGAATACTCTATTGGTTACAAATGACAAAAACTAAAACGAAAATGAAACAAAACCTCCTAACTCCAACAGGTTTAGGGGAAAGGGAATAATGTATTGGTTCTTCTAACTGTAAAGTCCTGGGATAGATCTTGGTGTAGAGAATAGTTGGATCGAGAGCTCTCACATCAGCAGATGTAGCCCCTTTCTCCCAACTGTGTTTCATTTGGCCCTCCTGATCCCCCTGGTCACTCAGGCCCTCCTTCATGGAGCCGGGATGACTGCCAGGGCTCCACCTCTGCGTCCTCTTGGCTTCAAGCACTCTGGGAGAGAGAGATGATGTCTGTAATTGAAAAACAGTTTCTTGTTCCTTGAAGAAAAATAAAATATCTGCATGAAGGAAATTTTTGCTGCTTACAGATAAGAAATTACAGCTGAAAGCCAGTGTCCTACAACTTCTCTGCCCTCTGTTCTTTTGAACTGGGAAAAATATCAGGACTTGTGTAAGTGACACAGTCTGCGACGGTTGTGCAAATCCTTATGCAAATGAGGGTAAATGGGATTTAGAAATGGTAGTGTTCTGACACTTTACTGAAGTAGATAGTATTTATTGGCAACATAATACGTTTCTATTCAATCAAGAAGTTTTCAAATAGCATAACTGTATGAATGTTTTATGATTGAAGAACCAACATATCAATCGCTGGATCTTGAAGTCAAATTCAGGAGAATCACAATTTTCAAAGGTGGGAACTTAAAACATTCCTCAACTTCAGAACTTAAGTTTGGGTACATGCCTTATAGTTACTTCAGCATAAATTGAGAATAATTAACAGTTAAATAAATTAGCTTGCCTTTTTGTTATTAAAAATATACAAGTATACAGGTGAGAGTGTTGGACAGTAGTACAGATAATTATGAATGAATGAAGAAACAATTCTTCCAATTCTTTCTTTTATTTATTGTGTCTTTTTCTTTCTATTTTTTTCTTCTCACAGAGTCTTGGTCTGTCACTCTGACTAGAGTGCAGTGGCAACATGATAGCTCACTGCAACCTCAGAGTCGTGGGCTCAAGCGATTCTCCTGTCTCAGCCTCCAGAAGAGGCTGGGACTACAGATGTGCATCACTATGTCATTTTTTGTAGAGACAGGATCTTGCTCTTTCTCAGGATGATCTTGAACTCCTGATCTCAAGCAATCATCCTGCTTCAGCCTCCCAGAGTGCTGGATTACAGGGGTGAGCCACTGTGCTGGTTCAAATAATTCTTTAAAAATCAATTTTCTCTTACTCTGAGAAACACTTCTCAAAAATTCCTTGTAAATTAACTGGCAATTTCTCTGTAAGTTTAATTAATAATCTATAGTAAATTCCTCCAATTGACATGAAAAGTCATCATCATTACACATGATTAGCCATGTGATCAGTTACCTGGGGAGGTAAAATGTAAGGAAAGTAATTATTTGAAGAATGTTAACTATTGTTAAATTATGAATTTCTTTCATTATTTAGATCTGATTAGCATGAAATATAAATCACAAATGTGGCACTGATTTAACATACAAATAAATATATTTGCTTTTTGTTTTTGAGACGGAGTCTCACTATGTCACCCTTGGCAGAGTGCCATGGTGTCACAGCTCACAATACCTCAAACTCTTGGGCTTAAGTGATTCTCTTGCCTTAGTCTCCCAAGTAGCTGGGACTGTAGGTGCCCGTCACAATGCCTGGCTAGTTTTTGTTGCAGTTGTCATTGTTATTTAGCAGGCCTGGGCCGGGTTCAAACCCACCACCCTTGGTATACGTGGCTAGCGCCGTAACCACGGTACTACGGGTGCTGAGTCAGAATTTGCTTTTTCTAATTCTTTGAAAAGTGGTGTTGGTATTTTGATATGAATTGCATTGAATCTGTAGATTACTTTGAATAGTGTGGTCATTTTAATGCTATTGATCTAATCTATGAACATGGGATATTTCTCCTTTTGTTGTGTCATCTACAGTTTCTTTCATCACTGTTTTGTAGTTTTCTTTGTTTTATTCTTTTCTTTTTTTTTCTTTTGGAGACAGAGTCTTATTTTGTCATCCTGGGTAGAGTGCTGTGGCATCATAGGTCATAGCAGCCTCAAACTCTTGGGCTTGAGCATTCGTCTTGCTTCAGCCTCCCAAGTAGCTACAGAGACTACAGGTGGCCACCACCACACCCAGCTAGTTTTTCTTTTTTTTTTTTTTTAAGGTTTTTTATTTTTTTGTAGAGCCAGAGTCTTACCCTGTTGTCCTTGGTAGAGTGCCATGGTATCACAGCTCACAACAACCTCCAACTCCTGGGCTTAGGCAATTCTCTTGCCTCAGCCTTCCGAGTAGCTGGGACTATAGTCGCCTGCCGTAATCCCCAGCTATTTTTTTGTTGCAGTTTGGCCAGGGCTGTGTTTGAACCTGCCACCCTTGGTATATGGGGCTGGCACCCTACCGACTGAGCCACAGGTGCTGCCCAGTTTTTCTATTTTTAGTAGAAACAGCATCTCACTTTTGCTCAGGCTGGTCTTGAACTCCTGAGCTCAAGGAACCTACCCACCTTAGCCACCCAGAGTGCTAGGATTATAGTTGTGAGTCACAATGCCTAGCTCTTTGCTTCATTCTTAATAAATTAGGATTACTAATTTAAGGGATCCAGAGATATGTGGAAAGGGAATATGAATGATAATTTTTAAGTCAGTTTTTCCATAAAGTCTTTTGTAATTCTCGAAAAAGTATACAATACTGGTGCTTTAATAGAATTACATCTCTTCCTGGGATCATTTTCTTTCTTTCTTTTTTTTTTTTTTCAAAGAATTCAAAATAATGAACACTATAGAAAGTCATCCTTCTCAGATAAAGCCAAGGAAGTTTTGGAAGTGGATTTTCATCAGAGATCATATTCTACATTTGCTCTGAGTTTGATGTTTGGCTCTGACTTGTTGGAAATACGTTGATATTTATGAAAAGTCTTAGGGAATGTAAGGTCTGAAGACCATTCATAAAATGAGATGCAGTTACAGATTTCATGGTTAAATTAATGATGGGGATGACTAATCCTTATCTGAATCCTGCCATTTGCCATTTTATAGATTTGAAAAGTGAGATTCAGAGAAGTTGGCCCAAAGTTAGCTAACAGTTTAAGAGCTAAAATTTAATTCTGGGATTTTGATACCAAAATTTTTAACATTCTGTAATATTTTATATCTAAAAAGTTCTTCTTAAATATTAAAAACTTAATGAAAACTGTACATTGATTTGTATCACTGAAATAGGTTTGTCATTAAAATAATGTTAAAGTTGTTCAGTGGTAGTAATACAAATTGCCACTAGAGGTCAGAACTTAGCTGCTATATGTGGCATCAAAATTCTCTCAATGGGATATTTTTTTGCCAGATTGAAGTCAGGTATTCAATATTATGGCAGCAATATTTATTTGCAGCCCTATTATAGTCAATATATAAAGCTCATTTTAGTAGCTATCTTATGTTAATATGCTATAACTTTCTAAAAAGTACTTCATCTGGCTAAAGTTTCTTTTGGTTTTCTCCTGAATCAGAGATATGACCTTTTATCAAAAAGGATAAAATTATTTGTTTTTTCTGTAAGGATGTTTATTTATTTATTTATTTATTTATTTTTTGAGACAGAGATTCAAGCTGTCGCCCTGGGTAGAATGCTGTGGCATCATAGCTCACAGCAACCTCCAACTCCTGGGCTCAAGTGAGTCTCCTGCCCTCCCAAGTAGCTGGGACTATAGGCACCTGCCACAATGCCTGGCTATTTTTTGGTTGCAGCCATCATTGTTGTTTGGCGGGCCGGGGCTGGATTCGAACCTGCCAGCTCAGGTGTATGTGGCTGGCGCCTTAGCCGCTTGAGCCATAGGCGCTGAGCCTCTGTAAGGAGGTTTAAAAGCTATGTTTACACTTAATGCATTAGCAAAAATTTATGATGCATTCAAGTGCATGCTCTATTTTTTTTTTTTTTTTGAGACAGATTCTCACTATTTCACCCTCGGTAGAGTGCTGTGACATCACAGCTCGCAGCAGCCTCAAACTCTTGGACTTATGCGATTCTCTTGCCTCAGTCTCCCAAGTAGCTGGGACTACAGGCATCTGCCACAATGCCCAGCTATTTTTTTGTTGCAGTTGTTTAGCTGGCCGGTGCCGGGTTCGAACCCGCCACTCTCAGTGTATGTGGCTGGTGCTGTAATCACTGTGCTACAGGCGCCAAACCTTCATGCTCTATTTTTAATTTCTTTTTGAGCCTTAATTTCTATATCTTTAAAAAGGATGTTAATATAAACAAAGTTATAAACTTGACAAGGCACCAAATTATATAATATGTTCCTGTTACATGACAAGTAATGGAGGTACCTAGTGTCATTCCTAGTAATAGTCTCCAGTAACTGTCACTAGTCATAATGGCCGTGGAGTAGAGGTGGAACTTGGGGGACTGTGGACGTCTGACCAGCTCTGGGACTGTATTGAGTGTGTGAGGGTTTCTTCACTTTTCTGCTGTGCCAGAGTGACAGTATTAACCCCTGCTCTAAGATTCTACATTGTACTCTGAGGTCAGAGGATGGGAATCTTGAGGAGCGTTTTTCTTTTCTTTTGTTGGCTTGAATATTTATTATTTTTATGTACAGAAAACTCAACAGTGTACGTTTAGCCCAGTTTAGTTGCAAGTTCTTTAGCCTTAGCCTTTTCCAGCTTGGCAGTGCGAGCCACAGACTTCAGACCCAGGACGGCGGGTCTTGTCATATCTGTGGTTGCGGTTGGTCCTGATGCTTCCACCAGCTTAGCCAGAGCTCCTTTGTCTTCCAAGTTAACCTGTGTGAAGGCCACAGTGCTGCAGGTTTTCCTGTGGACGAGACCCCAGCCTGGCCTTCCCTTTGATAATGCAGTCGGGGACCCCCATCTTCCGACACAGGGCAGGCAGGATGACAAGCAGCTCAATGGGATCCACATTGTGTGCGATCACCACCAGCTGAGCCTTCTTGTTCTCCTCCAATGTGGTGACAGTGTCAATCCCTGCTCTAAGGACAGATGGTCTCTGAGTGGGGACATCCCCTTTGCCCGCAGCTTTCTTCTCAGCCCGGGCCAACAGTCGCTGGGGCTTCTCTTGCTTCGTCTTTGGTCTGTACTTGTGGGCCAGCTTAAGCTGCTGAGTAGCTGTTTGGGGGTCCAAGGCCTGGGTGAACTGATTAATGGCGGGAGGTACTTTCAGCCGCGTGTACAGGATGGCTCTTTGCCGCTGCCACGGGATGTAGTGGGGCCATTTGATATAGCGGGTGAGGTCCCTCTTGGGCTGGATGTCCTGCCCAATGCTGAAGTTCTTCTGCCTTTTCTGAACAGAGGATTCACTACCTTCTTGGCCTCCTGCTTCTTCACCACGGCTGGGGCTGGGACCACCTTCTTCCCCTTGGATTTCTTCCCTTTTGGCATCTTGAGCCCCTGGAGCCGAGCATTTTTCTAATTTTGTGACTAGGAACAGAAACCAGAGTCATAGCAGGCTGGGTCCAAAACGTGGTGTTTCTGAGTTCAGCATGGTACACAAAGCCCCTGCACTTCTGAGGTGTAAAACCCACTTACCAAGTTGTTTCTTCCCCTCTTACAGCCGAGTGTGTGCTTGTCTGGGGGGAGGTGGGGGGTGGGGAGAGAGAGCCTGGTCAGTTCATTGTCCATCAGTGAACACCGACCTCTCTGCCGTTCATTCCTCTGGTGTTTAAGAGCAGCTTCCAAGTTATGTTAGTTTCTGCTTCTGAATAGTCTTATACATTTTCTTATATCTTTTATGTGTGTGCATCCTATGTCTTCCTTAATTAGATTTTTTCCTCAACATATCTCACACGTGCCAATGTAATCTTTAGGCAATTGTCTTAATAAATGCTATCATAGGGCCTAGAAGAAATAATTAAAATGGGCTGGGCACGATGGCTCTCACCTGTAATCCCAGCACTCTGAGAGGCCGAGGCAGGTGGATTGCTTGAGCTTATTAGTTTGAGACCAGCCTGAGCAAGAGTGAGATCCCATCTCTACTAGAAACAGAAAAACTACCCAGGTACTGTGGCAGGTGCCTGTAGTCCCAGCTCCTCTGGAGGCTGAGGCAAGAGGATCACCTGGGCCCAGGAGTTTGAGGTTGCTGTGAGCTATGATGATGCCACTGCATTCTACCCAAGGTGCCAGAGTGAGATAGTGTCTGTAAAAAAAAAAAAAAGAAAGAAAAAAGAAAAAAAGAAAAGAAAAAAAAAGTAATTAAAATGAAAGAATAAGCAAAAAATTGAATCTGCGTCCTGCTGGAGCCTTACTTACCCTTTATAGTTTGACTGCTCTCTTTTTACATCCTGGTTCTGGGACCAGAGTTTTAGACTTGACTTTCCACAGTGCCTGTGGACCGTGTGAGGCTCCATCATAGTGGAGGAGGGGGAGACTGGTGGAGGGTAGACTACTGACTACAGAGAGGTGGGGAAGTCGTCTGTTTGTGGCATCAGCCGCAGGGTTTTCTTTCAGGGCATCTTTCTTTCCCCTACAGGACTCCAGAGGTTCCCAACTGAAGGGCTCCAAGGTTGAGTAGAGGGCCGGGGTGGCAGTTATAATCCTGTGTGCAGTGGACAGATTGTTGAAAAATATCTCTGCTACCCTGATATGTGAGGGGGTGTCTCACTGTTTTAATTTTTGCTAGAAATACATGCTACCCATGCATGTTACCTTCGGAAAGTGATTTTTCCTAGGGCCATTTTCTCAGTTCCCTGATGCCATCTCCATTTACCATTAATTTTCTAAAATTATTTTTGACAGCTACTGAAATGTTTGAAGCTGGAAAGGACAAAAGTACTTCAGAAGAACTTGGCACAGAACTCAACAAAATTCTTGGAGACTCTGTATTCCCAGAAGATGTTGTCATTTATGTTTGGAAAGTCATTGGTGATGCCAGACAAGGATGACTATGGTGACCCCCCTCTGAAGAAATGAGTCATTCTTTATATTTTTTATTAAATCATAGCTGTATACATTAATGCAATCATGGGGTACAACATGTCAGTTTTACACACAATCTGAAATGCTTTCATCAAACTGGTCAACATAGCCTTCATGGCATTTTCTTACTTATTGTATTAAGATATTTATATTATTCTTATTTTTAAGAAAGCCCCATGAAATCTACTTTTGGGCACAATGATTAATATAATTAAGCTCTGGTTTAATTGTATGTGTATGGAGTTCAGTCTTTGAGATGAAATTTTGATTTCTGCGTACTTTTTTTTTTTTT